AATTATCTACACAACACTAGCACCTAAACTAGCTGCTTGTATTTAAAATTTTTCAAGCTTGTGCTTGCATTCTTCTACTTTTTTCTTTTCATCATATTTGCATTCCTGACGCTCTTTTCTTTCCTTTAATTCGTGTTCCTGTATATCTTTTCATTCCACAATTATGCTAAAAAATAGATCATTTGTAAACTCTTCATTATACCCTTACTCATAAAATGGCATCCTTAATATCAACTATTGTCATTTGTTCAGTAACATTCACATCAAGTTCGCTTGCTAGAACACACATATCTTGTTTACATCCTTTAGCAAAAAACTACATGATGACCTTTTTCAGTTAAAATAAATTCATCCATAAAAAAAATTAAAAAAAATAAAAAAAAAAAAAAACTTTATTATGGCGCTAAATAGAAGGTTTTAGTGAGGTCACCTTACCCAGAAAAGATCTGCAGTCATTTTACCACAGACTGTCACTACACTATAGTTAGTTAATATGAAAAAATTAACTAACTATAACACAGGTGTCAAAGTAATATATGAAAAAAAAACACTGTCTGCCTTAAAAGAAACTAACATTTTGCCAGACAGAATCTTATGCTACTTTAAATCATCAAATACTATAATCAATTTTCCAGCTATGTAACGTAAATGCAAGAAAAAATATCAATGAATAAAGTGGCTATGGAGGCAAAGGGTAATAAACATGTCATTGAAATTTCTCAAGTGGTTTGATGCCAGTGAAATCAAAACTAAGTTTATAAAATTGATTAAGTTCAACATGTTATTATACCAATTTCTAATACAGAATTTTACTCCTAAAATGCCTCACTTTTAATATATTACACATATTTATTATTTCGAAACAAAAATGAATATTATGATTCTACAGTTCGCTCGCAGGCATTATATGTAAACAAAATCATATAATTTCTCAATCATTTCAAAATGACATAAATTCATGGTATATATATATACAGTACAAAGTCCGTAATCTGGACTCGTCGGGACTTCGGCGATTCCGGATTAGCGTTTTTTTCCGGATTATAGATCATAAATTTAAATCTGGTAAGATGGCATGCAGAAATTATACAATTAAAAATATGAAACCCGTAATTTATGAAATAAAGAGCAATTATGATCTAAAGGGTATCAAAATTTACAAAAAAAAAAAAAAAAAACTTTATATTTATTTTTTTACTTTAGTAAACATTTCTTTCAATGTACGTTGTTTAAGTTGTTCTCTTTAATTCTATAAACAGACGTAATTACTTGTTCAGTTACAAATTTCCACTGTTCAAGTCCTGTAATTGCTGTGTCGATAATACCGACTAACTTGTTAATCGAAATTCTCTCTTTTTCAATAACCTCTCTGTCACTTTTTTCACTATCAGAAGCGCACATGTGTAAACGCTTTACTAGCTTTACGCGCATGCGTAGCGGACGCACACATCAAACGTGCATGTGTAAACACATTACTTGCATCCGTAAGTTTGTGGCTTTGAGGTCCGGATTATAGATCATTCCAGATAATGGATGTCCGGATTACGCACTTTGTACTGTATAAAGTAAGAAATTTAGAACTAATATTTCACAAAGACCAGAAATTGAAATTCATAATTAATAAATTTCAAATAAACATATAAATGCAACAATGAATTTAAAAATGTTAAAACCAAAACATTTCAAACAAGCCAAACCCTTCTTCAAAAACCATGAAATTTAAAGAAAAATGAACAAAAACAGAAGAGGAATGCAATCAATCTCAATGTCACTTCATCAGGGGGTAGGAACTAATTGCAATCTCTCTTGTACAAAAATCCTTTCTTTTCTGTATCCAGAATTAGCCAATGAACCATTTCAATGTATTTCAATTATAATTATAATAGTTCACCTGAAAATTCTGGCACTTCTCCAAAGCAAGGAAAAAACAAAGTAAATCTAATTAGAAACATTTGAAAAATCCTCCCTCCCCCCCAAAAAAAACTGATGTATACACCACATGACTTCCTTATACAGAATATTTAATTACATGCATTTTTTCTTGCATATTATTTAAACTTATTAGATTGAATTAAACCTACTTCGCCGACAGCGAAGTTTAACAATAGAATAAATGCATTCTTTAAAATTCACTTTGTTTACCATAGCGACACTCTGGCGCTAGGTTTACTTAACAATATTATATTTCGTTCATATTATAACTCGGAATGCACAAAATTTATATCATTTAAAGAATTATCTAATCGTTGCCACATGTTCTATTCAAATACTATAACACAGCTAGAACGATGTATAAAAGAAATTAAGCAAACAAAACAAAAAAGAAACAGTTTTCCACAGACGATTGAGTATTTCTCATTCAATTAATTCAGTTTTCACTTTGCAACAAGGCAAAAATTCATAAAAACTCAAAATATCTGTATTAAAAATTACGAAGTAAATCTTAAACGCTATTTCCTCGAAAAAATTCCAGAAAGGATTAAGCATGATTTAAATAATAAATGAAGGCGTTATCTTTGTTGTTGCGAAGCTAAATTTCTCTAGATTGGCAACAAATCTGCTATCCTGCTGTTTCAAATGTAAACAAGAGCAATGGCCGCCATCAAAAACATTATTAGGCTAGCGACACTTAAACAATTTTAAAATTGTTGATAATTCTAAAAATATTGCATACAGATTTACTAAAGGCATAAAACAGGGTTCGTACGGTCCTTAAAAGTCCTTAATTTTGGCCGAAATGAATAAACGGTCCTTAATTTTGCTCATTTGACATTTCTTATCATTTCTAATGATTGCCATTCTAAGTGTGAATTATGATTTCTCATGAATATGGAATTAAAATTACACGGCTCTTACCAATCTGTTGGTGGATTTGCGTTGCAAACGATAAAAAAAAAAAAAAAAAAAAAAAAAAAAAAGAAAAGAAAAGAAAAGAAACAATTAGCTACCCGAACGAAAGTATTGGTGTCTGATTGGCTATTCACCCAATCTTTCCAAACAGGTGTTATCCATAAATTTAGGCAGATTGTGACGAAAGCGTGAAGCCGGCATGGACCTTATAAGAAATAGACTAACCCAGTGGGCGTGGCGGGCGTCACCGACATGTCGGCAAGAAAGAGTAGGGATGATCTGGTTTACTTTAACACTGAAACCTATGGCGTTTGTATCATATAACTCTATTTAATTATTAAATGTGATACGTTGTATAGTGATAAGATTATGAAAGCCACAGTTTTTCCAAATAGGATTTAATGTATCTCATTAAAACACTTTTTACTGCATTTCGCCCATTTTTTTCATGCGTAATTCTTGTACAAACATGTTTACTTTGGTAAAACGGCAAAAATTCTAAGCAAAAAAATTTATGAGCTTAATTTTGTGTAAAAAGAAAAGTAAAATTAAATAGATTGATAGTACGCGATGCTTTGAAATAAATAAGATAAAATTAAACAAGATCTGATAATTTTTTAAAAATTTAATGAACAGTTTCAGGCAGTGATTTTCCAAACTATAATAACATTTCAAAACATTCATATTTATTTGATTATATGATCATTAAATTATTAACATCAAATTGGATTATTTATTTTAATAATTCATAAAATTCGGAGCATAAAATTTTCTGAGCGTAATGAAGGGGGGAAAGATAAAATAAAATCTAGAAGCACACAGATTTTATATTACGCCCAAAAGGAAACTTTTTTAAAGTTTTGTGTATAACCTATATTTATCGAATATCATGTTCTTCGTCCGTAAACCACATACATTTGAAAACAGCATATCTTTAGAATTTCTGCACCGGAGATAAAACTGTTATTTTCCGTACAGTGCTCGCCCTGAACTCGTTGAGTTTGTTAATCAAAAATTCGTTAAAGTTTTACAACATATGAAATAGATTAAAACAAATTCGAAATTCAACCGTTCGGGTGGAGGATTACATTATTCAAAATTTGATGGCTCTAGATGTTGTCGTTTTTGTCATAGTGCGAGAAACATACGTGTATTCATGCAGATTCTTCATTATTTAATTTCTTTTCATATAATACAGGTCGATAATATTTGGTAACAACAATTTGCAAGGAGAAAGGGACATTTATAGTAAAACAGCGCAAAATGCCGCTTTGAAACTAACAGCCTTTCTAGGCTACCCCCCTTTGGGCTAATAAATTAAATTAATAGCAAATAAAAAAAAATCTTATGCAGAACTAACAATAAATTTAAAAATAATCACTATAAAATACAAGCAAAATTAATTATTACGGTTAAATACAATTTTAATATTAGAATTAAATGTATACAAATTTTTAAGAAGTCAAAAGCAGAGCTTAAATTGCGACGGAGCTCACTGGGGCCCGGCTCCGGTACTTCATAGTTTTTGGGATACATTCTAATTCTAGCCGGAGCGCACCAGAGCCCTAAATAAGAAGGCTCCGGCACTTTTTTATGTAACGGAACACTTATTTTAGTAGAAATTTGATCTAGAAAATTTTTTTTTAAAACTAAAATTATATAATAAATCGCTTATTAAATTTTAATTTATCTCTTTACATCTTATTAATTTTAATTATTTAATTACTTTAATCCCTAATTTTAATAATAATAATAAATCGTGAATAATTAAACAATAATTAAAAGTTAAATAATAATTAATAAATATTAATTATTAACATCAAATTCAATAATTATTAATTAATTTGATACTCATTAACTAATTAATTAATGACTATTAAAACAAAATGACTATTAAAATCATTAATAATTAAAAAATTAATTAATGAGTATCAAATTTTTGTACTCAGTACTCTAGGCTACCCCCCCTTTGGGTACTCAGTACTCTAGGCTAACAGTACTCAAGTACTGTTTTTGAAAAAGAAAGTGAGCAAAAGCCAAGCAAAAATTCTTACAGATAAACATAAATGTTGGGTGTCAGTTATGAGGGGGGTCGTTTTGGATGGGGTCATAAAAGAGTCCTTTATAGTATAACAATAATTTATTAACAGGCTTAAGTTACACACAGACATTACATTTAACTTTAAGAAAATTAAAGAGCTAGAGTCTGATACAATCTATCAGGTTCATCACTTGGCTTTTACAGAGCTAGAGTCTGATACAACGTATCAGGTTCATCACTTGGCTTTTACAGAGCTAGAGTCTGATACAACCTATCAGGTTCATCACTTGGCTTTTACAGAGCTAGAGTCTGATATAACCTATCAGGTTCATCACTTGGCTTTTACTAAAGTATTTCTCTGGCTGCTCACCAGAGGGCACCCTTGTTACTACAGTTCGTCCAATAGTTTATATTAAAGGATTGGTTACACATGCTATTAACAATACTGTCTAAATTATATGAATGTTTGTCCTCTGAATTCAGTTCTGTTTCTGTTACATTGAAATTTAGGATTTAATCTTAATTTAGGATTTTATCTTTACTAGTTTTCTAAATTAGACTTCCCTTCCCCCTAAAAAAGTATTTACTGTCACCAAACAGAACCAGTGGCATAAATAAGGGTATGCAAGGAATGCCATCGCATAGGGGCTTGAAGGTTTAGGGTGCCCTTAAAATGTCCTGCTGAACTACATTTACATGTTTAAACTTAAAAGTATTTTTCCCTTTCGCTTTTTATTTTTATTTTTAGAGTTTGTACTACTATGAATTCTTATTTCAATATAATAGAAATCGTCTTAAGTTTTTAAGGGCCCTCTTCCTATATGGTGCAGTGACGCAGTTCCATATAAGACGCAGAAAAGGGGCCCTTGGAAGCACATGAAACAGTTAAATTAAGTGTTTGCAAAAGTTAATATTCCATCATTTGACTATGAAATAGTAACTTCGTGACCTACCTCAGTTCAGGCATAGGAGTCAGCAGAAAATAGGAAAAGTTCCTTTGTATTTCTTATTTTCTTACCTGAAAATTTTTAAAGGCGATATCCTGAAGGAAATGTTTTTCCCTTTGCAATCCCAATTCAATGGGGGGTGGAAATGGAAATTAATTGTAACTATTTATTATAATGTAATTATTTTGTATATTAATTTATTTCTATATCTTCGTTATTATGATCGAATAATTAATAGACACATTTTCTAAATATAAATAAAGAAGTAACTAAACAGGTTTCTGGTACTTAATTTCGAATGACCTTTGCAAGTTAAGAGGAAACGTGGTATATTATTTGCAATTCGAAATTTTCATAATATGTCATTCCGAAGCTTTTACTTTTGCTCATATATTGAATCTGTTACTAGCATTTCCATTAAACCCAAGTCCAAAAATCGGGACTGATATTAAGCTTGAAATTGAATTTATTAATGTGAACGATTTTTACAATTTAATATAACATGTATTGCGTTGGTTCACTATAAATGGCGTATCACTTTTCAAATTGTTGCCACCAAATAATTTCACCCTGTACTATTTTTTAAAAAATTAAATAAGGAAGAATCTGCATAAATGTATGTATGTTTCTCGCACTATGACGAAACAACGTTATCTAGAATGTTTGAATGTATGGTTCTCACAATGTAAGAAACGACGGTGCAGTCGCCCCAGAAGGCAGGGTATAGGGACGGGAAAATTTTGGTTTTAGAAGTATGAAACATTCCAAAATGGCAAAGTTAAAGGCGGATCGATTTTTTTCTCTTTTTTAGACTAATAATCTGGAGGAGGAAATCATTCGTAAGTACCAAATGTTAACTCCAGAATGTATGCTTTCCTTTCTTAAGGACACAAAATCATTGACGTAAGTTGAGCAGTTGTGGCATGAAAGGACTTTGCCCCACCCACATGTCGAAATGATGTCCTTGTCCAGGAAATGCAAAGAATTTATGACACCACATTTAGCAAAGAGAGATTTCCTGTTTCTTATTAGGGATCTTTGAATGAATTCAAGGTCAAAGAAAAAGGGGGCATGTTTTATGAGACAAGCTAACACAAAGTTTCATTCTGTTTGCTTAAAAACATTAAGCGGCAAATATTCCAGTTAATTTTTTCCCTTAAATTTATCAAAATTCATAACTTCTTCTTCACTTATGGCGTGAGGAAATGGAATGGATGAATATTTTTACTTGAAATAATGAGTAAATCAATATTTGTCCTATTTTTCATATCAAAATTTACAAAATATTCTCACATTGCAGATAAAATGCAGTTTAAGAATTCTTTAAAATTTCCTAAACGAGCATTAAATCTGAAGGCACAGAACTCATAAATTTGATTTGCTTTAGGAAAGAGAATAGCTGTGGTGTTTCTTAGCCTATAAAATTACTCATCTACCAAAAATTCACACTA